GCTGCATTCCCTGTGTGCAGGACCAGGAGCTGCTGCATTCCCTGTGTCCAGGACCAGGAGCTGCTGCATTCCCTGTGTGCAGGACCAGGAGCTGCTGCATTCCCTGTGTGCAGGAGAAGGGGCTGCAGGGCCGTGCTGGGTGTCACCGGGATTTAGGATGGAGTCAGTGGAGCTGTGTTGGATGGTGCAGGCTCATGAGGCACATTAAATTCCAGGTGTAACCAGGCTCTCAGGGCTCCCCCAACAGCATTTGGGGATGGGAAGGTTTTCCATGGCCTCACTGCAAGCAAGGAGCTCTGATAGTGTTCAGGATCTGCAGGAAGGGATTCCAGGGTAGGTCTGAGCTGTGTTCAGGTGGAAGAGTTCCCAGGTAATCCCCTCAGTCTCAAATCTCCTATTTCATACCAGCAGGAAAAAGCCCATGCATCCAAATCCCTCATTCTCTGCATTTCACTAAGAGGCACAAAATCCTTAATTCCCTAGAGCTCCTGTATGGCTGTTCTTTACAAAACTATACCAATAAAAAATTATTCTCCCTAAGATTTGGGGAGCCCTTTTTAGGAGGATAATGTCAAGTCCATAGACCCCTTTGTACCATAATGCCTGTCCTCAGGAAAAAGCAACACTGTAATCAAATACACAAATTTAATTTTCCCATCACTTAAACATCTTTTAAAATTATCGCAGAATTCTCCTTGTTAATTCCCATATCCTGCACTCCCCTTTTCTGTACGTATTTTTTTTTTCTATCTCAAGTACATTTAGGTGTCAATTAAATTTGAAATATCTACATTTGTCAGCATTTCATTTTTGGCCAGCGTGATGTGCCGCTGATTTGTCCATGCATCCTGACACATGAAAAAAGCTGCCGCGATGCAGATCTCCCTCGTTAAGCGGAGCCCGCCGTGGCGGCGGTGCCGGCGCCGCTCTGACATGGGATTTACGGGAGCGGGCGCTGTCAGCGCTGTCACCGCGGAGCGCCACGGGGACACCGCTGGGCACCGGCACGGCCCTTCCCCTTTCCCTCCCCCTTCTCCCTTCCCCTTTCCCTCCCCCTTCCCCTTCCACTTCATCTTTCCTCTTCCCCTTTCCCTCTTCCCCTTCCCTCTCCCTTTTCCTTTATATATATATATATATATGTGGAAATTCAGTGTCACTCTGGGTTTCTGGACATCACATTAGGTTTTCTGGAGTCGTGTTGAATGGTAGCTTGCTCTCCTAAGACACAAAGACACATATCTGAGTTCAAAACACGATTATTTATTAGGTGTCTTTGCTTTCTGCTTTATTTTAGGTAGAGCCTTTTATTAATGTAAATTGATTTTTTTTTCATCATAGTCACTTTCTAAAAAGAAAAAAAATTTAAAAAATGTTCTAACAAATGGTTCCCATTGCAGTGGCCTCACCTCCCTTCCCCTGGATACCTGTTACAGCAGGAGAGGGGAAAGCCCAGCAATGCCCCAGCTTTCATGGAGTAAGGCAGGCTGATTTAACACCATCAGCTGCAGCCACTGCCACCTGTTAGAGACTTTGTAATTAGCTCTGTCCTGATTGTGAACAAACATTCATTGGCAGTGGCCAACTTCTCCTTTCCTGACCTAATCTTTAAGAAATGATTTTCAGTTTACCAGAGAGGAAAGAAACATATGCTTGATGTTTCATATCCATCCTTGGGCAGTTTTGATTTTATTCTAGAGTGAAGCAATTCTAGTATGAAAAACAGGTACAGGTAGGAACTGATACCTGGAGTCAGCTCCTGTGTGTGCCAGGCCAATGTCAGTGTAATGTCTGTGAAGCAGCAGGAGGTGGGATGGATGTTTGCTTGCATCCAGAGCTCTGAGCTGTGTCTGAAGAACAAGGAGATGCCCAACACCAGGGAATGTGGTGGGAGATGGGTTTGTGTGGCAGCCCTGCACTGTGCTGTGACTGCAGCTCACAGGGCCCTTCCCAACCTCCTGGCACCCTGGCCTGTGTAGCAGAGCTGTGGTTTGTGCCCCTGTGAGCCCTGGGCAGTGCAGGCAGCCAGTTCAGGGGGGTTTGGAGCCTCCCCCTCTCAGGTTCTCTCCTCAGCAGCACTCGGTAACTGCCTTCTCTCTTCCTGTCCCCAGCCTGGTAAAGCCCATGCGACACTATACTGTCTTCCTCTCGGAGGACTCCTCTGATGATGAGTTTCAGCAGGAAGAGGATCCTGTCTCTGGCTTCTCTGAAAACTTTTTCTTCTCTGCTCCTTTCGAATGGTCTATCCTTTACTCTTTGGTTGTGCTCGTGCCGGCTGCCAACAGTGGGTTTTGCATTGCTCAGGGTGCCTGCTCCTGTACTGGCATTTTGGGAATGCTCCTGTGGTGTCTTTACAGTGCTTGGTGAATGTCCAGCATCTCTCCTGCTTGTTTGTTTTGGTGTTGAGCAGCATGCAAAAGCATCCTCCTGCATGAAGCACTGCAGCAGCCCACAGCCTGCGGGCTCACACGGGCTGGAGCTCTGTGGGATGTCCCCCTGCCATTTGTCCTCTGTTCCAACGTGCTGCTCATGCTCCTGTCCAGACCTTCTGCCACTCTTCTTTGTGCAGTGCTACTGTGATCTTGGGTTGTCCTGTGAGCCCTGGTTCAGGGCAGTAACCAGCCTTCTCCAGTGTCACCTGTTGGATCCCAGCCTCTGGTCTGTCAGGTGTCCTCCCAGGGCGGTGGGTACAGTCTGACAGTTACACAGGGAGCAGGAGGTTTGTTGGGTTTGTTTGTATCCACCTTTTGAATTGGAACTTGTGGTACATTTTAACAAATGCAGGCACTGGCTTGACCAGAACCTGCAGAAGAGATTCCAGGGCACTGTGAGCCGCTGCTTCAGAAATCCATGTGGTGCCAGATCCAGGCAGTTCAGGAGCTGGGAGGTGGATCCCGGTCCCACTGGAGCAACTGGAGCCTGCTGGCCACAGCTGCTTGGACCAGGCTGGAGAGGGAGGCTCCAGTGTGACAGGGGGTCTGCAGGTCCTGAAATCAGTGTGTGCTGCACAGGGCAGGGTCAGGCTGACAGGAAGGGACGGGACTGCAGGTGGGTGGGATGGGGAGGTTCAGTAGCAAAGGGTCACAAAAATGTTCCCCCATCATGTCTGGGGTGGAGGAGGCCAGTCCTGATTGCAAGAGGTTGCTCAGGGAGTTTGCAGTGTGACTCAGTGCAGAGCACACGGGAGGTGAGACTGAAGGCACGACCAGGGTTTGAGATCCCCCTTCCCAAGGCCATGTACCATCAGTGTCTGCCTTGTACCTGACTGTCACACTCTGGGGTTGGCTGTGCCTGCTGTGTGTGTGCTGGGAGGGAAGTGAGCTGGGCTCTTTGGGAATTTGCATGATATAGATGCATTATGATAAAATATGGAAAGAGGAGGAGGGTTCTTCCATAGGATCTGTTTTTGCAGGTCTCACAAATATTTTCTTTTAATTGAAAGCTTGTTTAAATGCCACAGTACAACCAGCTGCCAGTCAAGTGCCAATCCCCACAGCCATGTGTGGCACTTGCTGTTATTAATTGGATGCACATCGTGCTGCTGTTCTCTGTACACACCAAAATGCAAATGTGCTGGTTCGTTTTTTTTGCTGAGGTTTGTGCAAGAGAAGCATCCTGCTAACTCAGCCTGGGCTGGGAATGTAAAGGAGGTGTCTCCATAATGGATTGTGCTGTTTCTTGATAAGATGACACCAGTGAAATCATTGGAACTCTGCACAGTGTTCCCAATTATTGCAGGAAAACACAGAATTATGTTGTGTGCTGAGTTGGCTCAGAGCAGGAGGCTGGAGGTGCCTGCAAACACGGGCCATGCCCGGCCTGAGGGGAGCATGGAGAGCTGGCACCCGTTATCCCTGCCCCCAGAGCTCCCTGCCCAGCCTGGCTGCACCTGCATGAGCACAGCTTCCCTCTGAGCACCTCCACCGGGCCTTGCCTTCCTGAACACCCGGGGTGCCAGGGCCCCTCTGCACGTCCCCCTGCCCGCGGGCACTGCCCACATCCTGCCCTGCGCGGGCTCTCGGGGCCAGATTGGGCACCAGGAGCTTTCTGTAACTCACCCAGCTCCTTAGGAATAGTGTTTATCACAAAAACATCACAAAGATGGCCCTTTGCAGCGTGGTGTGTGTCCCTGGCAGGCCCCAGCCGTACCGCGCCCTCAAGGAGTCGGACAGCGCGGATGGGGAGGAGCCGGAGCCGGGCAGCCCCCAGAGAGCCCGGGAGCCGCTGCCCCCCAGCGCCCTGCTCGCCAGCACGGCCACCGACATCAACCTCCTGCAGGACATCTTCCCAAACCTGGAGGTGGAGTCCCAGCCTCAGCCTCTGAGCCAAGCCAAGAGCCTGGAGGACCTCCGGGTGCCCACGGAGGAGGCGGAGCAGCGCTGCACCTTCGACTACCAGGTTTGGGGGCTGGGGCTGCACAGCTCGGGCTGAACCTCCCTCAGCCCCTGGGGAACCTCTTTGTGTTGTTGGGTAATAATAATGATAATAATAATGATAATAATAATGATAATAATAATGATAATAATAATAATTCATCCATTTTTTCAGGGGTTTGCTCATGTGTTTCAAAATTAATTTCTGAATCAAGAAATTGCTGAAATGGGCCTCATTTATAAGTAACTTTTTCCTCTAAAGCCTTTTCCTCTAAAGGAGGGGAGATTTGCCCCGTTCCTCAGAATCTGTTTGTCCAGTGGCTGTCACACACAGTTAGCTTTGAAGCCAATGCTCAGCAGTGAGAATGAATAGCTGGGAATTTTCAGGTCCCCTCCAAACTTTCTTTTCTTTTAATTTGGCCATTTGGGGCTAAAATTTGAAAAATGTAGATTGGAGAAGAGGGATTCTTTGTGAAGGACTTCATGGAACACATTCAGCTTAGAAAGTGCCAGACTAAAGCAGACTCGGAGATCTTCATCTGGCATGAAAGAAGAGAATATCATTTCTACCTTATAATAATATTTAATTTAGTGTTATATCCAGATACTACATTTGTCAGCTTTTTCCATACTGCAGTGAAGGCTCCTGAGTTTCTGTACCCTGGGCACAGGGTGTGCTCCTTGCTGAGCTGCAGCAGATGCCACAGTGTGTCACAGCTGAAGCAGCCGGGAGAGGCAGAGCAGGACCCAAAGGTGCCGGTCCTGACGGGTTCCATGTCTGTGCTCCCAGGGCACACGCCGTGGTCCCTCTGCAGTCTGGGGACAGATCCCTTCCCCCACAGCCCAGCAGCCTGAACTCCCTTCCTGCTCTGTGTTCTGGGCAGTCAAAGTTACATTTCTGATGCTTTCTTGCAGAGAATGGACCTGGGTGTGTCCGAGAGGAGCAGGATTGTGCCAACCATGAAGCTGTCCCACCCCTACAACAAGCTGTGGAGTATGGGCCATGATGATATGGCCATTCCCACCAAGTACTCCCAGAGCTCACCAGAAAGGTCCCTGACTGCCCTGGGAAACGTGCCCCCGGTCACCAGGAGACCCCGGAGCAGGGACAGTGGTCTGGCTCCTGCAGAGAAGGATGAATCCAATCCTGCCATCCAAGGGAACATCACCATTCCGAGGCCACAGGGGAGAAAGACTCCGGAACTGGGGATAGTGCCACCACCCCCAGCACCCCGGGCGGCCAAGCAGCAGACTGCAGCAGGGTCAGTGGAGACCCTCCCCACTCCTGAGCTCATCCCAGAGCCCTTTGGAGTGGGACACGTGTCCTTAGAGCCCGAAATCCAGCAGTCAGGGAATTACTGCCCTCACCCATCTCAGCTGCTGCCCAGCGCTGCCGGCACTGCCGAGATGCTCCAGCCTGTCAAGGTGCAGGCAGAAGGTGCAGGTAATGACAGTGACTTCCTGCTGGACCTGCTGGACCCCCTGAGAACAGCAGGCTGGGAGGGCCGGGCCCCCCGAGGGCCCCCCAACCTGCACAGCCCGGCCCCCACGGCTGCCTTTGGCCTGGGGAGAAGTGACTTTGTGCCTCCTCCAGCTGCACCATTTGTCCAGCCCCTGGGCTACCCTTCCCCAGCCCCACCACCTTTTCTACAGGCATCCCCTAATCCCTTCACCCAGACACTGCCAGGAGCCCTCCCAGTGTCCCTGGTCAGACCCCCGAGGGGCTCCTTCACCCCCTCCTTAGGTCACGCCTACAGCTCCAGCTTCATAACACCCGGTGGCTTCTACCCACCACAGAGACCTCAACCCAACCTGTCAACTCTGTCCATGCCAAACCTGTTCAGCCAGGCTCCAGCTGTGCCAGCAGCTGGTTCCCTGCTCCTGCAGAGCCCTTCTGCAGCTGCCTCCCTGCAGGCAGCGTGTCCCACCGGGGCCCCCAAGCCCCCAACGTTACAGCTGGGCCAGGCCAGCACCAAGGTAGATCCCAAACAGGCTCTGGCTCTCCTGGCCAATGAACCCCCTCTGCTCCCTGCCAGGCCAGCCAAGGGCTTGGAGGCAGTGTTACTGTCCTCAAAGTCTGAGGAGACAAAAGATCCATTTGAAGATCTGTTAAAAAAGACCAAGCAGGACGTGTCACCCACGCCAGGTAAGGTGGAACAGCTCAGAAAGCGATGGGAAACCTTTGAGTGACACTCGATGGCCTTGGTGTCCCTTTGGGAGTGGCAGAGGGGGTTTTGGTTTTTTTGAGCCAGCATAAAACCAAGCATTTCTTTTACAGAAGGCTGAGCCAGGACAGCTGCAGGACCATCCCTGAGCTGCAACTCACACACGAGGGGGTTTTGCCCAGAGTCCCCCACTGTCCCCGTCCCTGCCCCGGCTCCCTCCCTCCCCACCACAAACCCCGGGATTCCTGCACTGACCAAAGCGTGAGGGGAGGGGGGCTGGGTTGGGCTTTCCACACACAGCTTTTCAGGCAGTTCTGATGCAGGAGTTACTCCTTCCCTGTATTTTGAGTCCTCAGCACACGGCACACACTGTGCTGGGGCTCATTCCTGCCTCTGGGAATGGCCCTCAGTGTTTCTGGCACTACACATAGAAAGAAAATATTATTTTATTTCCACAGGCAAAGTGCAGCAAACAAACCTGGCTTGTGGGCTGCACTAAATTAATCCATCAGGCTCTGCTTTGTCCTATCTTGGAACCCAGAAACTCTTTAGGTGGTGCTGTGGGATGGGGCTTTGACTCTGGGCCTTGCTGGGGCACAGTTGTCCCAAGGCCCTGGTGCCTCAAAACCACAGCACAGAGCAGCTGCTCAGGGTTTGGTCCTGCGTCTCTGTTGGGAAACTGGAAACACCAGCAATTGTTTTTTGTTTTTTGGGGGGGGTTGAGTTTGTTTTTGTTTAATACATCAGAAAATAGAGGCCATAAAGAGTATCCTAGTTCTTATATATGTGTATCTTAATATTATCTGTCAATAATATAAATGGCAGTATAGGAATGGAATGTAACAATATCTTACTTGATTATTACAAACAAAGACAGGGCAGAGCAGGGGGTTCCAGAGTTCCCAGCTCCCCAGGTGCAGTGGGAGGCAGTGCTGGGAGTGTCTGGAGGGGGATCCAGGGGGGCAGCAGGACACCCCCACACTGCCCTGCAGGGCTGGGCCCCCTCAGCCCCCGGGCTGGACCCGCCGTGTGCTGCTCCCAGGGAAGGGAAAGGGAAGGACAGGACATGCCCTGCTGGGTGCTGGGAGCCCCCTCTGCACCAGTGGAGTTCTGGGGACACCCCCACCCTCAGCACCCCGGGGGCTGTCTCTGCTCCTCCTGCCTCACTGCAGAGGGGCTGTTCTGGGCTGGGTCTGGGACACTGGGCTGTAAACCTGTCACTCGCAGAGGGAATCGCGTCACCATGGAGCCTTGGACAGAGGAAATCACCTTGGACACGTGGGCAAATTCTTGTAAAGCTTTACCTGATTTCCAGTGTATCTATTTTATTCATGTAATCTTGGAAGTTTTCTTACTCTGGGGAATGGGAATGGCTGTCTGTGCATTTGGGTCTGGGCAATACAAAACAAAAATATTCTCAACAGCTGAGATGGCACCGGCTTGGGAGAGACCACAGTATTCCAGGGATATTCTGTTTCTGTACAGTGCTGTTCCTCTGACAAGCCATTCCCTCAGATTTGTATTTTCTTTTTGTGTTGGAAGACAGATGGGTTTAGTATTGCATAGTAAAATATTTAAAGTCTAAGATAAGAGTTCCATTTTATTTTATACAGTTCAGACTATGAATGTTCTATAATTCAGTGTGGAATTTCAGAGCTCCTTTGCTCTGAGCTGGAGGATCAAACTCTCTGGCTCCTGGTGGATGTGAGTGGGCACTGGACAGTCCTGCCTTCCCAGGCTCTGTGCTGGAACTGTTCATGTCACACAGGGATCAGACACTGAGGAGGCCCAGTACAGATGTTTAAAACCACTCAGTCCCACTGCAGTTCATTTCCATCTCTGGTTACTTTACTTTGCCCATATTATGGATCATTTTATGCCACTGAGTTTTGGACAAGCACTTGGATCATTTTCTAAGTCAGTTTTGAGGCACTGAAGAGAATTAACACTACTGAAATGGCATTTATCACCCCTCACTTTATTTTGCACCTCTGAGATCCTCTGAGGACAAGGAGTTTGGGACTTTCCTCGCTTCTGGAATAGGGTTTGCAAGCAGGAGACTTTTGGGCTTCTTGTAATAAAGAAATCAACCTCTCCCTAGGGCAGTATTGAGGGGGTTTTGTCTTATTTAAACTCAGGAATTCCTAACACAATTCATTCCCAGTAGTGCTTGTCTGGGAGAGCAGGCCAGGCTGGGACCCAGCTCTGGGTCTGACGTAGAAGGATTTTTGATGTTTTCACTAAATCCAGGATAAAAAGTGTTCCTGATACTATTTATCAGAGATGTTATCCTCAGCTTTGTCTGTGGTCCTGTCCCCACCTTGTGTTTGGTACCATTTCGCTTATTTTAGCTGCCCTTAGGAATAAGTTTATTTAAAAAAAAAAAAAGAAAACCAAACCTCTCTGGAGTATGTGGGAAAAACAGCCACAACTCAGCGTAACCAGCTCTGGTTTTAACCAAATTTTATTGTAAATTTCTGTTGAAGGACATTCTAATTATATACAAATTATAAAATTTACAGTTACAAAAGAAATCAGGATCATGATCATTAACTACAGCAAGTCCAGTTTTGTGAAAAAATATATTCAAAAATTAAATATCAAAAGAAAGTAAAGTTCATTATTGAAAAAAACCCCAAACCCTCCATAAATTATTTTGCAGAAATGCTCAAGACACTGACAAGAGGATTTTAACACCTTTGCTACTACTGGCTTTGGGTGCTCGAAATCCAAGCAGCTGCTTTGCTGCCCTGAGGAGCTGCTGCCTGGACAGACAGAGCCTGGGCTGGGCTTTGTGCCTTGTCCTTGCAGGAGCTTAGTGAGCTCTGAGAACACAAGGCTGGTGTTCCCAAAACCAGGCTGGAGGAACAGGGCTTCTTTCAGCCCCTGCTGCCTGGTTTCCTGTGGTTTGAACCCCACCTGTGGGGTGGAGCAGCAGGACCTGTCCTGGCAGGAGCTCCAGGCCCACCCTGAGCCTGCTCTGGGTCATTCCAGCTCGGGATGGGCTGGAGACACCACAGCAACCTTTGCCTCCAGCACAGGGGACCCCAGTGACCCCCCTGCCCTGACCTGGGGCCACCCTGGGACCGAGGGCAGCTCCTGTTTGTGCCCAGCCCAGCCCGGGCTCCCTCAGTGCTGCTGTGCCAGGAGGGCTCTGCTGGAGCCTCCCGTGCACAGACACTGCTGGGACACCCCCTTCACCCCCTCCCCACGTCCCACTGCCACAGGGGCCAGGGCAGGGGCCTGTCTCTGCTCTCAGAGGGTCCTGGGGCTCCCTGAGCAGAGCTGGAGGAAGCACAGAGCAAACCAGTCCCGTGTGCAGTGACAGCAGCATCACTGCCAGGAAATAAATCCAAGCAGGACCAGCTCCCAGTGCAGTCAGGACATCTCTGGGCACTGCCACATCCAGCTGCTTCCCAAACACAGCTGGGTGGGATCACCACTTGTTCTTTCAACTCCTCCCCACTATTAGAGGGAACATGAGCTCAGAGACAAAATATCATTTCCCACTCGTTCATTTTTTTCTATTTTCAAACATTTTCATTCTTCTCTCAGCAGCTGCCTCAGTGCAGAGACCTGTTCTTAGCAGACACACCTGTTCTTAAACATTCACACCTGGTCAGTAGTTCTGTGCTCTTCCCTTTGCTTGGAACTAGAAACATTTACAGTCAAAGTAAAAAAAATAAATAAACCCAAAAGTGTACCAGAATAATCAGCCTTTTCTTCTGGTGGCAATGAGCTACAGTGGCCAGGTTCCCACCCTGCTTACTAACAGTATTTTTGAGATTAAAAAGCAGACACTGTGTTCTAAAATATTCTTCATTGATAGTTGCAGTGATTATCCTGAAACACTACTGACTTCAGACCTCACCTGTCCTGCTCTGCTGCATTTCCTGCCACAGGCTCTGCCACGTGTTTTATATGAAGAAGAAAAGCACATTCAGCAGCTAAAGCAGTAACACAGGAGAAGCCACAGAATCAAAGCCCTTCTCGGGGCAGTGGAAGGTGAATGTTGTGTCACTACAACACCAACCCTGGCTTGGGTCAAAGGGCACTAGTTTGGCTCACTAAGCACCACTCTCCTGTACTGACAAGCCCAAACTGTCTGTCCACAGAGGTCGGATCTACAACTATTTCCTTCTCCCCTCCTCACCCAGCAGGTACTACTTGATACTCAGTTGTTCTACACAGAAACATCCTCCTTTCACAAAGTTAAACTGTAACTGGCAACTCAGGCTCAGAAAGGCACTTCAGATACTCCTGTGGTTGGGTCTGGTCTCGAGGAAAGCTCCAGCAGCCCTGTCCAGCACAGTGGGATGTACAGCCAGGGAGTGCCCGGACAGGGAGGGGCAGCAGCAGCTCTGGGAAGGATTTCCCACCACTCACTCACCTGGCTTAGCCTTGCAGAGGAGCCACAGGCACATGTTTTTTGAAACAACCATATTATTCACATTATTTCTGAATGCAGTGGTTCAATCCCCATTAACTGGACCTGCCTCACTTACTTGTAGGGTGTTTTCTCTGTTGCCTGCAGGGCAGTGACAGCCCCTGTGGCTCCGAGCCCCGGTGCCCGCGGGAGCAGTGGGAGCCCAGGGGCCCTGGCTCTGACAGCACCAGCTTCTGTCCCTGCTTCTGGGTCCCCTCCCACCCTCTCCTCCCCAGCCCCTCCACAAAGGGTGGTTTCCTCCCCCTGCTGCTCTTGCCCCAAGCAGTTTAACCCGTGCTGTGTGTGCAGTGATGCCCTGTGGTGTGAGCAGGCGCAGGGGGGAGCAGCTCTGGAGCCTGTCCTGCACACACAGAGGGGCTGCAGCAGCTCCCAGGGACTCACAGGAGACACGGCCATGGTGACCTGGGGTCAGATGAGCCGCTCTGTCGGGGGCATCTTGATGACGTTCCACATTTCCACTCGAGCCCCGTCCTTCTCCTGCCGGCTGGGGCTGTAGGTGCCCTGCGTCGCTCTCCTCCTCTTCATGGCGATGGCCGTGGCTGCCAACACCACCAGGAGCAGGGCAGCCCCCGCCGCCCCCACGGCTCCCACCACGGAGGAGTGGCTGAGGTGAGCCCACACTCGCTGCTGTGGTAGAACAGGGAGTTACTCAGAGCTTCCCCTCATGGTCTCTCACCGCCCTCAGCCCCAGGCCCAGCACCTCCCTTGCAGCTGCACCGACAGCTCTGCAGGCCAGGAGCTCCCCCCTTCCCTGTCCCCTCCTGTCACACGGAGCCCAAGGAATGCAGGGGAGGCTGGTGACCCTTTTCCTGCTCCCCTCTCCCCTCCACACCCCCCCCCCGAGTCCAGCACGTGGCAGCTCCAGCTCTGCCCCAAGGCCCCGGAGCGCTGCCTGCACCTTCCCTGCACGGTACCGTGGGAATGTCTAACAGCACCACATCATCCCACATGGATTTGTACAAGGACTGCTGTAATTCCTGACAATTCCCTGTAACACAGGGGCTGTCACAGGGCAGGAGGTCACAGCTGCTGTTGCTGTTGAAGACTGAGAACCTCACACACCTGAGCTGAAAGAGTTGGGAGTGTTGCTCAGCTGTTGGCAAAGGCTGAGCAGTTCCACAAACCAGCTGTGAGCCCCCTCTCCACAGCTCCTGAGCGGGGCCAGAGCAGAGCCTGCCCTGGGGCTCCTTCCTCCCTGCCTTGGGAAGCAGATTGAATGGGGCCACCCCTGCCTGGCAGTGCATGGAGCCAGAGCATCTCCAGCACCTGCCCCGTGCCCAGGGCCGGGCAGGAGGGAGGGCAGAGGCTCCCTGGGAGCCCCGGGGTGGCCGGGGCAGCTCCCTCAGGCAGCGGCTGCCTCGTACGGAACGTCCATGTCGTCGTGCCCAGGCCTTAAGGAAACTGGGATGGGGTGGATCTGCTGCTGCAAGTGCTGGGAAGAGCTCAAGGTCCGAGCAGACCTTGCAGGTGCATCTCCTTGTCCCAGCAGGGCCTAAATGAGCCGCTCTTCGGGTGGCAC